CAACCTTGAAAAGCCTCCAGAACTCTGACCAGTGCAATAAGGAACCACAGTGCCAGATGACTAAAGATGAAGTGTGCCCTACCTGCCTTTGGTCAAAGAAGTGATAGTCTAAAAATGCAGGATGGGACATAGGTTTTTTGACAAGGGGAATTAGTTTTGCTGGACTATGCATGTGTTAAGAGAATTTATAATTGTTCAGTTGAGGAGAGGGGAAGTGGGAGGGACAGGTAATAAATGAGCATAAACAAATAAAATGCAAAAGAAGTTAAGGAAACTGGCTATCCTTTTTTTTTTTTTAAACCAAACACTTATTCACCTCATGTGGAAATCCAGGATTCTGTGGGAATTGGTCTGGAAAAATGATGCCCCTAGAGAGATTCATATTTGTTATTTGCAGGTGGGGGGGTAGTAGGATTACCAACAAAACTAAGCCCTAAGGGATGTTCCCAAATTCATAATCCTTCTCTTTCAGCAGACTTACTTTACTCTGCCAATTTCCATCAAATGAGAACATCTGGGAAGTTCAACTCTGCTGCTAGCCAGTCAGAACCACCAGCCCAAATATACAAACATGGAGGGAAAGTTAAGTTGGAGAAAGGGAGGCCATTAGGTGGGACTCAGTAATTTCTACTGAGGCCTCTCCTTCTATTTTCTTCCATAGTTCCATACCTGGAGCTGAATCAGTTAATTTCCCAATGGACTGAATGAATTAAAGTCAAAGAAACAAGTGAATCCTGGAATTGTCGTCAGCTTCAGCTCCAAGAAGTGATCAATTAAATGACTGCATACTGATATTCTACAGGACTCCCAGCTGGAAATGACTTCTGGAGTTAATCCAGAAGAGAATCCTTCCCATGGATTTGGAGTTCATGTTTAATACTCAGCCTTTTCCCCATCCCTAGCCTTGTTAAGTCAAACAAAGGCAACAGACAAGGTCTAATCCTGGATCCTCCTCTTCCTCACCACCCTGCCTTCCCCTGTCTTCCACAAATAGAAGGCAAGGTCCCAGGATGTTACAAGGGCTGCTCTGTTCCCAATGAAAAACCTGATACCTCATGATCTGTTACCAGCTGACACATTCACTTCCAGCTCTGGCCTTCTTGTGCCCACATCCCATGCTCTCACCAGCCATTCAGAAGGCTTCCTGTAGCCCATCTCACATGAGCCTAAAAGCCCCAGGGGTCAGAGAACACAGGATACTTGGAGTTTCGAGGTCAAGAATCTGGCTGATGCCCTGAGCAGAGGAATATTTTCCTGACCATCCTCAAACCAGGAAGCATCTAATGAATGATGGTCACATATGAACAGTACAGGTCATCCTAAAATATATATCACTCTACTCTCTTCCTGCACATCTGGGCTAGACTCCAATTGTACTTACTTTAAAGCTAATATTTCTTGATTGTTTCAGCTCTGTATTATATGTTGCTTACATGTTTCTCTTAGTTCCCCCAATTCTAATCCCACAACTCTCTATATATCACCTTTTCAAGGCCAGTAACTGTGTAACTAAGCTATGGTAAGTTCCAAGCTACTCAAAGCTGAACCATATTGTACTGTAATTATTGACATAGAGGTACATCTTGTATTAAGGGACTTAAGAAAGAAGAGTGGGTCTTATTGCTGGTAATGAGACTGTCTACTACCATGGAATTGTAGAATTTGGGTTTGAGAGGGTGGGGGGGTGGATGGAGGAGATAGTGTATTTATTAAGCACTTACTATGTACCAGACACTATTCTTAGCACTAGGGATAGAAATATGAATATTTTATATAATTTTATGTAAATAAAGACACACAAGGAGCTTCCTTTCAAACAAGGAACACACATAAATGAATTGGGAGGCAGGAAAGGGTACCCACAAAGGGGAAAGATAGCAGGTGAGAAGAAGGAAGAGAAGACTAGAGAATGGGTCCAGACATGAGTGAGGTGCAGTATAGCTGTGGTCCTTCCTAAAATGATATTCTCAGGGAGGGAGTCACCAATCAGCAGAGCAGGACCTCAGATCTCAGTGAGCTTCTGGAGTCTGGGAAGACCCCATCTACACAGATGAGAATCCTAGGCACCTTCCTTTGTATGCATGTGGCTTAACTTCCCTGTCAGGGGCTTTCTATTAAAGGAATATGGGTGGGGCAGCTAGGTGGCACAGTGGATAGATCTCCAGCCTTGGAGTCAGGAGGAGCTGAGTTCAAATCCAGCCTCAGACACTTGCCACTTACCAGCTGTGGGACCCTGGGCAAGTCACTTAACCCAGACTGCCTCACCAAAAAGCAAAAACAAAAAAAAATCTTAAAAAAAAATAAAATAAAAGAATATGGGCATGTGAAGGCAACAAAGAACAAGGGAGAAATTTCTCCCTCAATGGGAGAGGTAGATAGAGAAGCAGGATAACATGCAAAGTGCTTTATATTCATTATTTCATCTAATTCCCACAACAACTTTATGAGATACACATTATAGGTATAATTATTTTCATTTTTATAGATGATGAAACTGGGGCTCAGAAATAATAAGTGGCCACCTTGCCCAATGTCATGCAGCTTGTGAATGTTGAGGTTGGATTCAAAACAAAGTGAAACACTCTTTCCACTACACCTTAACACGCAGTTCAGGGAGTTCTAGAGGGGTCCCTTTCTATGACTTGCCCTGGGGAGGGGTTGGAGTGGGAAACTCCCCACATTTGTGCCTTCATACACAAGAAATATCAGCCCTGGTGAATTGAGAACAACATCTACAAAGTGGAATCTGGGCCACCCAGCAAGTTTTAAGACAAGCAACAAGAGGAAAGGAGATGACAAAGAGACAAACTAAAGACAAAGGTCTTCTTGCAGGAACCTGGAGACTGTATCCAATTAGATTAACCTACATCCCAGTACAAAGACCCTGTAAGCTTTAAATGACAGATATTGAGGGCCATTCATCATCACTGGCCAACAGAATGGCCAATGATCATGAGTGGGGTTGGATTAGCAATGACCTGTCAAATTCACCAAGTCCTTCACCCTTCATCTTGAGTCATTAAGCTTCCCTGAATTTCTATGAGAGAAATTGAATCAACCTGCCCCCATGCAGGTGGGATCTACAGGCAAAGAGTTATGAAAAATGTGGGCTTGTTGACAGAATTAAGGGCAGTAGTATTATTTGACTGATTATAAGAGACACATTCCAGAAGATCAAATGTTCAAGTTAGTCAAGGATATACACGCCCACTCCCTGGTTAAGACACAAGCAGAAGAATTCAGACCATCTTCCCTAGGGTAAAGAAGGGAGAAGTCCATAAAAAGAAGACACTGTCAGCACCCAGGCCAGAGGCAGCCCTGAAGCTAAGAGTTGTGAACTACCTCAGCATTAAGGCATTTTTTGCACGAGCTATATGACTGCTATTATGACAGAGGTAACATGCAGTGGGATCATTAATAATGAAGAAGACTAGACCTTCATGCTAGCAGCAATAGACTGTCTGATACTATGAAGACTTGTATTCATTATGGATCTGTAGTAACTTGGATTTCTTTTGGAAAATCACTCAAACCCAAGAGAGCCCCTGAAAATAAGGAAAGTCATGGCTGAATTATTGGGAGTCCTCCCTAACATAAGTTTCTGTCAGTTTCTCTGGATGCAATCACCTTTGAGAATATGGCCAAGAGAGCCACAGGAACCAGTGCTTTTTCTCCCCCATTGGACATTTTGTGCCATCTGGCCATATTTGGTAAGCTCTTGTTAGCTGGGCTTTCCAGCATTAGGCAGTTCTGTGATAGTGAGGACATCCTGAGATAGACTAGGACTGCAACTTTGATATAGACACATATCTGAGATGCTGTACCACCAACCTTGGGGACTGTTTAAGAGCCCTAGCTATAATACATAAAGAGAGAAAACCAGAACTTTCTTCCACATTTTTTTCCCCTTTAACCGCATGCTCCCATGCAAAAGCATGCAAATACCTTCTATGTGACTCTCCATCCTTTGACATATAGGCTTGTTTCTGGTCTCTTAGCTGTTGCCTCATCTGTACAACATAGTCTTCCAGGAATCCCAATTCCATTGATGAAAATGGGGAAGATTCTGGTGAGGAAAAGGAGGTAGAAAAGATCCTCTTCCCAAAGTCCTGAAATAAACTCCAAGCCCATCACCTCTGACCCTAGAATTTCCTCAACTCTCTGGAGACGTTGAACTCACAAAAAAACAGACAACTTTTTAACCTGTTAGGAAGGCAGGACGCAGCCCTGCCCCTAGGAAACTAGGTCCTTATTGTTTCAGATGGCATTTTATCACACTCTCCCTATGTCCAATTCTACTTCATACCCTACAAAACACATATACACACACATTAAAACATGTCACAGAAGGAAGAAATAAACCCAAATGATACCTAAAACTCTAAACCTTGCAAAAGTTAAGCATACTGGCTGTGAAAAGAATTTCACCCCCCACCCTATCCTCCCAAACTCTACCTGATGCCAACAACGCATGAATTCTGGTTAAACACCATCTGGGAGAAATCAATATCACAAATATTTAAGGTCACAATTTATAACAAGGCAAGGAAAGGAAACACGCGCACACAAAAGCACACACCTGCTTGTGACTTGGAAAATGTAATAGGGAGGGAGGGGTTGAAAAGCATACACACAGCTCCCCCCCACCCCAAAAGACCCTGGTAGCGTGATTCCACTCTTTCTCCAGGCATGATCTTTTGGATACATGCACATCTCAACAAGACAGGAAAATAACAGGAAAATGACAATGCCCTCTCTTGAGGGAATTGGAAGAAGACAAATACTTGCTACCTCTTCCCCTTGAACAAAAAGCAATCAGAGGGATAATTTAAAACAGTCAAACCTTTGGGGCTTCAATTTCACATATCTTGGGATACCCTATTGAGGATGAAAGGGATCCATGGACGGGGCCTGCAACACTTGACTTTGAGCTCTGTGCTGTTATGTAGTTGGAAGATGGGGCTCACCTGGCCATGATTTGTCTCATGAAGGTTACATACCTCAGCAAGTTGAAGCTCAGATCAAGCCTCTTTGCGAAGTGGCCAAAGTCCCTGCCGAGGTGCTCTGGAATTTCTCTGCAGTCCAGACCAATGTAGGACACCTGGAAATTAAATAGAACAGAAACAATGTGGCCAACGGAAATCGCCCAGCTGTTCACAGCCCTGACTCATTGATTCATTGATTGCTTCCGCAACTTGAAACGAACACTATGGCACACACAAAACCACCACGTTTGCAACTCCCTCTCTTGATCACATCATTTTGGGGGCCTTCAGTTGAGTCAACAGAAAAAAGCACTTTCCTGATATAGTTAGTATAATGGGGGCTAATCCACAGCACAAAGTAAATTAGTCTGAAATTGGCCGGATTCAGATGTCCAAAAGAAACCCCAAAGTCTTGGCATGTTGATAATAAGAACCAGCAGTCATACCTCATAGTTGGGCCTTTTCTCCCATCTCCCTTGCCACACACCCTATTTATTACATACGTTGCCTCATAAAAGATATTGCAGGTGCTGTTACCAGGGTAAGGTTGGCAGGGGCCTGGAAAAAAATAAGTTCAGCCCCCTACCCTTACCACCTTTCCCCATCCCTTCCTTTCCAACCCCCTGCCCCAAAGAAAAGTATCATGAAATGGAGAGAAAGTGGCAGAGGGGGCTGACCTTGGAAGAAGCCCTGGACTTGTCTTGCCTCTAACACAGATTAGTTATGAGATCATGGCCCAAGTCAAGACATCACCTGTGATGCCAGGAGTCCCCTTTAGAAATGAAGGACAAATAATGGAAGAAATATAATAGTGGGTGAGTTACTTAAACTCCCATGCTCCCAGGCACTGAGTTACATAGGACCCTAGATTTATAGTTGGAAATGATCTTAGAGGTCATTGAGTCTAACACCCTCATTATGCAGATAAGGAAACTGAGGCACAGAGATTTTAAGTGACTTGCTCAGGCATCACAAGCTAATAAGTATCTGAGTCAGGATTTGAACTCAGGTCTTCCTGACTGCCTGTCCAATATCCAAGACACTCTAGTTTCCAAAGTAGATATTTCCCCACACCAGGTGAAAGCATAGGTCCAGCCTGTGAAAGAGAGAGGGTAAGTCTATAGCAAGAGCAAATAGGCTTGCTTCCTCCTCTAACAAGGCTCCCTACAACCTTGTTCTACAAAGATCATTCTAAGCCCTTCTTATCCACATCCTCACCATACCAGTTTGCCTTTAATTCACAATTTGTTGATGGATTTTGTGTTCTTGAAGCACATGTCGTTTCCTCAGTCTTCCAATTACACCTCAGACATTTAAGAACCGTGAGATCTTGGATAAGACAATCAACTCTCTAAGCCTGTTTCCTCATCTATAAAATGGCGCTAACACCACAATTAATAGGGTTGTTATGAGGGTCAAATGAAATAAAGCAGGTGAACCACTTTGCAAATATTAAAACCTACGTAAAGGTTGGACATATTAAGTGGGGAGAAACTTTCTGAGGGTAAGAGCCCAGTATCTACAGTCTAATGATTAGAGCACTACATTTAGACTCAGGAAGGTCTGGTTCAAATCCTGCCTCAGGCACTTACTACCTGTGTGACCCTGGGCAAGTCACTTAACCTCTTCTTCAGTTTCTTCATCTAGAAAACAAGGGGATTAGACTCATTGTCCTCTGAGGTCCCTTCTAGTTCTAAATTTATGATGATATGATCCCTTTCTCTCTCCGGAGAGTAATGACAGAGTTTGGTATACAATAAGCCGGGCCTCATTCTATGTACCAAAAAGAAAAACAGAGAACAGTGAGGGTCCCCCAGGCAGGAAATGGAACCTAGCTAAACTCACCCAGCTTTTCCTCCAAAGGAGGTATTTCCCTCACTGATAGGACACTTTAGCAGCCTGACTTCTCTCTCTTCAAGACTCCTGCTTACAGAGACAGGGCAACTTTCATGAGGTTAGAGGAAACAGAGACCCAGAAAGGGCCAAACAGGACACTGATGGGCCTGACTCATTCCTGTCCAAGCCCAAGGCAACCTTGGAACTCACCTACCCCAAGCTTCTCATCTCACAAATGAGCAAACAGAAGTGAAATCACTTCCCCCAGGTCACATAGCGAACAAATGGTGGGCTTAGAACTTGAACTCAGGTCTCCAGACTCCAGGCACAGTGATCTTCCCACCTCACCATCTGACCCAAGCAGCATCAGCCAACCTTGGGCCAAACTATAGGGGGAGCAAAGTCTAGTTTCTCGTCAGCAGCCTAAGCATCTCCCTCCTGATGCCTTGTGCCCTTTTGCTCTCCTCCCCTTCATCAAAAAACTTGCTTTCAGGACAAGATCTGTTACAAATCATTTTATCCTCAATTTGAATATGTGTTATTGTTTCACCTCCGAGGTTATTAAACACTCCCAGTTTTGTTTCTAATTGCGCAATTAAAAGCATCCCTCAGGGACAGCTAGGTGGTGCAGTGGACAGCAGTCTGGCCTTGGAGTCAGGAGGACCTGAGTTCAAATCTGGCCTCAGATACTTAACACTAGTAGTGTGACCCTGAGCAAGTCACTTAACCCCATTGCCTAGCAAAAAAAAAAAGCATCCCTCTCCCTCCAGGAATTTTAAGCATCAGTTAGGAGTGGTATTTGAGGTAGGAGAGATAGTGGCCTGTGCAGTATGGGAAACACACTGGATTTGAAGTCAAAGGGCAAAGTTCAAATCCAATCTTTCTCCTAAGATTTATGTGACCTTGGGTAAGTCTCTTAATCTCTTTGGGACAGTCTTCTTATTTGTAAAATGAAGAGGTTGAACTAGAAAATCTCAATGATGTCTTCTAAATGTAGGACTCTACAAAATCACACCACCATATATATAAAACTAGCCCTGCAAGTAAGCATCCTACTAAGGAGAAACCCATCTTTTCACAGGATTCCCCATACCATGAATGCCTCAAGCAGATAAGGTATCACTTTGCTTGATGATCTGGGGCTTTAAGATTCTAGAGAAGGCACAAATAGCAAAGGGTTCTCATATCCTCAGAAGCATTTCTGCCCCACAAGGTATCTTTTGGGTATCTCAGCCCTTCTCTGCAGACACCATCCCCATCTTTACAAATCACCCTTTGGCCTCCTCCTGTCTTGCAGTGATTGCAAGCAAATAATACAGCAACCCACCCCCTTTCATTCAGGCTCTAGTAACTTGAGGCAAAAGGAGGAAAGGAAGAGGAGGAGGAAGGGAGGTTGAAAAATAGCTGACTCCAGTGAAATCATTTTGGCTTAGAAATCCACTTTCTGGAAAATAAGGAGTTCCTACTTCAATCTAGCAAGCTCTCCCCTCTTCTACATAAGACCCATTCTTCATCACAATCTCTACCATCAGTTGTACTCTCAGACAGATAGAAAGTCTCTTCATACCAGAAGGAAAGATAACTTCAGCATTAGCTTCAAGGCCCCCCCCCGCAATTCCAGTGTAGCCAAAGTCCCCTGGGATAGCCACTCAACTAGTAATTTCTTCTTCCTTCCACGAGCTCCCATTAACCTGCCCAGCCCTCACCTTTCAAACCTGGTGGGCAGCAGAAGAGCAAGTTTCATAGATGGGAAAATGGATGGAACATTTCTAGTTATCCTCTTTGAGAACTGGAAAGAAGCCTAGAAGTCTTCAAGTCAATTCCCCTCATTTTAACAATGAGAAAACAGGCTCAGAAAGGTAAGTGACTTGTCCAAGGTCACACAGGTTAACTAATGGCAAAACCAGGACCAGAATCTAGATCTCCCAACCCAGTGTCCTGTCAAGATTTGGGAAACATTATCATCCTGAAAGGCAAAAGCAGGAAGGAGACAAACCTGGGGAAAAGAAAAGCATACATGTACTACCTTTTCTTTGTGCAAGAATCCTTACTGGAAAAAAACCAAAGGGTAGCTCCACAGAAACCAAATCTCTAGCAAAAGCTGCCATAACGGGACAGTTAGGTTATGTTCAAATACCCACCAAGCATTTTACAGGTGTGTTTTATTAGCTAATTCTTGGAATATCCTAACAATTATATGATCTAGACTACAGCATAAGGAGATTTTAGGAAACAGGTCAGCCAGCTCATTTTACATATAATGACCAAAGGTGAAATGATTTCCCAAAGGTCACCCAGATAACCAACAGATAAGCCAAGATTCAAGGTCAGGATCCCAGACTCTAAATCTAATGCTATCTCACTACACTAAAGTGCCAATGCATTCCCATTCTACAGGAGGGGAAGACTAAAGCTGAAGAACGCACAGAAATTTGATTCACCAGATCTAATCTTCCTTCTTACCTCTGGCCCTATTGGTACGGAGTGGTTTCAGGATTTTCTCTCAGACTAGGCTCCTTTTTTTCCTCATTCCATCAAAACAGAAGAAGTAAAACACTTACCCAACTTAGGGTGTCTGTGAAATAGGGACTGGGAACACAGAGGTTGCCACTTCCCATATACCTCATGAAGCATCTGCAGTTGCAAAAAGGAATAATCCTCCGAGAGTATGTGGGATGGCAAACTCCCTCCCCAACTTCTCCAACTGGCTTTGTGGATTGCCAAGCCTTGCTTATTGGGGTTCAGGAAAAAGGTAGAGGTTATTCACTGGAAAAGTAGGCTAAAGAAATGCCAATGCCATGAGCTGTATGACCTAGCAGAGGCCTAAGAAGCCAAGAGGATGGAATAGCTGAGCTACTGAGGAAGGTAAAAAGATGAATAGCTACAGAGGCTTTCAACCAAACAGGGAATGGGTTGATTCAGAGGCATCTAGAAAAGGGTAGGTCAAGCAACCAGAGACAATCTGATCAGGGAAGACTTGAAAACAGAGAACAATGGCTAAGGGGGAATCTGTCCAGGCAGCTAGGAAATAGTCATGAAAGAGGAAGACTAAATCAGGGAGGCCTCTGGGAAAAGGAAAATCCACTTAGGATGTCAGCACAGTCCAGCCTGGACTCAAGCATCAAGCCTGAAAGAACTCCAACTGAATCTTGCTTCTTCGGTGATTTGGAAGATTGAAAAAGAAAAAGATTCAGTCTAGGTGGGGTAGGTCCACAAGCAGAAACACAGTTGAAGCTAGGGACTGAAAGGGTCCCTTGAAACAAACCTGGGCAATAAGTAGTGAACATATTAGGGGCAACTAGGTAACACAGTAGCTAGAGTGCCAGCGGCTGATCCGAGTTCAAATCCAGCCTCAGATACTTCCTACCTGTGTGACCCTGGGCAAGTCACTTAATCCTGGCTTGCCTCAGTTCCCTCGTCTGTAAAATGGGCTGGAGAAGGAAATGGCAAACCACTCTAGTAACCCAAATGGGGTCAGACATGACTGAAACGACTCAACAACAACAAAGTATTATTTATTATCTCCATTTTACATTTGAGCTACTGAGGAAGGTAAAAAGATGAATAGCTACAGAGGCTTTCTGTAGCTCAGATCAGAGAAGTGGTATGATCTGCTCACCATTACAAGACAAAGTCAGAACTTTAATTCAGGGCTTCAGATGCCACTATTAAGCTAACTCAAGTTGAATTGAAGCAAGTTGTGCCCTTGTAATTTATCTCCCTGTACAGGCAAAGCCTAACCTTGCTATGAGCCTGCTCCTTGAACACATAATGACGGGTGAATTCATTCCACAGAGATAATGTTACATATGGGTGTTCCACCAACTGATGTGGATGGCAAGGGTGAGGGGTAAAGTTAGAGGGAAGCATTGCCAAGAGGACCTGGGTTCAAATCCAACCCCAGACACTTACAAGCAGTATCATAATACTCATGCTGCCTCAGGTTCCTCATCTGTAAAATGAAAAGTTTGGACTCCAGGATCTTTAAGGTTCTTTCCAGCTCTAAACCTCCAATCCTTATAATATCACAGTGGGATGGTAACAAAGTTATTGCAAAATAACAATTTATGTCAGGTATGGCTATATCATCATTTGTAATAATAATAATAATAATAATAATAATAATAACAACAATAACAATAGCTTACGTTTATATAAAGCCCAGCAACCCTGCAGGATTAAGTAGAATAGTATTATCCCCCCTGCCCTTTATAGATTAGAAAATGGCCTCAGAGAGATAAATGACTGGTACCCAGCGACACGGCAGGGCCAACACTCAAATCCAGGTCTTTTAAATCCAAGTTTTCCACTCTTATTCTCTTGAGTAGCGGCAAGAAGCTTTCTGAGGCATCAAGCTAGGGTTCCTTCACTTTGGGGGTTGCTTGATCAATTTCATTATTCCTGGGAAAACCATTTCTGGGAACAATGGGTGGGCCAGGAAAGAGAACTCATTTATGAAGCTTGGTTTGCTCAAAATGTTCACCACTAGAGGAAAGCAGGTTGGAAAAAAAGATGTCCCATATAGGTGGGATGCTACAGAATGGTTGTAATTAGGGATGGTAACACTGTGTTACAGACACCATAATACAGTAGCCCATGGTCATAGGATATAAACAGGCAGTTTTCAGACAAAGAAGTCAAAGTTATCTATAGTCATATGAAAAAATATTCTAAATCACTATTGATTAGAGAAATGTAAATTGAAATAATTCTGAGGTACTACCTCATACCTATCAGAGTGGTTAACACGACAAAAAAAGGAAAATGTTGGATGTTGGAGGGGATGTGGGGAAACTGGCATACTAATACACTGTAGGTGGAGTTGTGAACTGATCCAATCACTCTGGAAAGCAATTTGGAACTATGCCCAAAGGGCTATAGAACTGTGCATACCCTTTGATCTAGCAATACCACTGCTAGGTCTATATCCCAAAGACATCCCAAAAAATGGAAAAGGACCTATTTGTACAAATATATTTTTAGCAGCTCTTTTTGTGGTGGCTAAGAATTGGATATTGAAGGGATGTCCACTCAATTGGGGAATGGCTAAACAAGCTGTGGCATATGGTTGTAATGAAATATTATTATGCTATAAGAAATGACAAGCAGGATGATTTCAGAAAAACCTGGAAAGATTTACATGAACTGATGCAAAGGGAAGTGAACAGAACCAAGAGAATGTTGTACACAGTAACAGCAATATGAAGAACTGTGAATGACTTAGCTATTCTCAGCAATACAATGATTCAAGACAATCTCAAAGGACTAGTGATAAAGTATACTATCCTCCTCCAGAGAAAGAACTGATATTGATTGAATACACACTGAACCATGCTATTTTTCACTTTCTTTCATTTTTTTCTCTTATTTGAGTCTTCTTGTACAAAATGACTAATATGGAAATGTTTTACATAACTTCACATGTATAACCTATATCTGATTGCTTATTGTCTCAGGGAAAAGGTAAGAAAGGGAGGGAGAAAGAGAGTTTGGAACCCAAAACTTCAAATAAAAATGTTTTTTAAAAGTTTTTTAAATATAGTAGCCATAAGACCCAGCATTCCTGATGCACGTACTGCTTTGGAGGGGTAGAGATGGAGCAGGCACATGTGGAAGACATTTTCCTAAATAAAGGGTTTCTAGGTCCACTTCAACCTAACAGATTGAAGGCCCTCAACAGTCAAGTCAATAAGGCCTTTTGTGCATTGCCTCAAGCTTCCCTCCCACAATTAAAAAAAAGGGAACAATAAATGACTAGCAAAATGACCCAAAGGAACACAATATAGGATGAAGACAGGCACAGGAAAGCCTTCAGTCCTATGCAGAATAACTTCCACTCTAAAAAGCACTTTCACATACATATGTATTATCTGTTTGAACCTCTTGATAACCCTGTGAGACAGTCAAAGCAAGTTGTATTACCTTCATTTTTAAAGCAAAGAAAGATATATAGATGAGGGTCAGATAATTCATACGACTTGGCCAAGCTCATACAGCTAATCATAGGATCATAGCTCCCCATCTGGAAGGAACCTCAGAGGCAGCCTGCTGGAAAATGAGGCCTCAGAAGATTAAATGACTAGCCAGAGCTCAGCAGTAAGAATTTGAACCCAGATCCTCTTACTCCCACAATACCATCTGTCAGTGGAAAGGACCTGAAATCAGGCCTTCTGACTGCAAATGCAGTGGTCTTCCCACAACACTGTGTTCTCCCTCAAGCACATTTTTCATGATTACAAGTCACTCCCATGAAAAGAGGAGAAGCCACATGTCACAGAGAGATAGCTAACCCTTCCTGGCTGGAGCGTGGAGAGACTCTCGTCCCCTAGTGCTGGATTTGGGGATCAAAAAATGTTCCAGCTCCCAAAAAAGAGAACATTCTGAAACACAGCTGCCTCAGGTATAAGTGACCCTCTCAGAAGCAGCAGGAGTTATTTCAGTCATTCCCTTGCCTCTACCCCTAAACGCCTGGGCTAGCACATAACCACCCTTCTTTCTGGGTCTCTTCTCTCTGCTGTGGTTTCCAAAACTGAAACCTAAGCTCTGAGCAGGATAAAGAATAGTCACTTGGCTACTACGCAGTTGTGGCCGTGGCCGGGAGGGAGTGGGGGGGGGGGGTGCTAAAGAGACTAGGACCCTTAAAGGAATACAGCAAAAAGGTGAGGACAGCTCCCAGCAGGTCCTCAATAAATATTGATTAATGACTGATTACCTAACTGGGTTGTAAAACACTACCAGCATTTATTTAGAAAGGAGAAAGATCCTTCCCGGCCCAATCATGTTAAACTGTCTGATCCAGCCTGGCCTTAGGCAATCTAGGAAAAACCAGCATAGAATACTGTAGTCTGTGTGTGGAGATAGGAGAGTGAATCTAACTCTAAAAGACTGAAATAGGGCTACTGGTATCTGGTTATGCCAGCAGCTGAGCAACCCAAAACACATATATACCTTACGGCTAAGAAACCATCCCTCCAGCAATGACTAGGCATCTCCGTGAAGATTCCCCATGTGCCTGAATGCATGTGTGTGTCTCACCCACCCATGGTATGAAAACAGTGCTAATTCACTCTCCATGGAAACCTGCTCAAGAAAGTAGGTGTCCTGGCAAATAAAACCATTATCTGCCGTTTCCCCATCCCACCACCCTCCTGCCAAGAGAAAGGAGGGGGGAAATTATCTGTTATTTTTGTGTGTGTGAATATTAGAACAGAATGTCTCATTCCATACAGTAGTTACTCATTGGCTTGGTCATGATAAAGCCAGGCTCCGAAGAGGTCAGGAAAAATACGTGCAGTTCCCTTTACCATTCTATGCCCCCAAAGCCCCGTCAGGCCTTGCACTAGAGAGCAAAAGCTAGAGGCACCCACTCCCAAACCAACCCACATGCCAGGGTATTCTGTGCTGGGTTTTGTTTTGTTTTTCCTCCTAGACTGCGTAAGGCCAGGCCAGATCAGCCAGTTTAACACGACTGGGCTGGGAGGGAGCAGGGGAGGGCACCTCGGTGGGCAAGGTGATATACTGAAATTGAGGAGAGGGTCTGCTTCAGTCCCCTCACCCCTATCCCATGGGTCTCTGTGACCTAGAGCCCTCCTTCCTCCGGCCTTTTCCCCAAGGTGCGTAGGGGGTAGGGGGCAGCAGAGCGTCCTCCCTCCATTTCTCAGGCTAAGAACTTACTTGGGTTCCACTGACCACGAGCCCTGCCATAGTGGGCGCGGAGCCAGGGGAGGACCTGGGCTGGGCTGGGCTGGATGGGAACGGGATAGGCCGGGGCGGGCGCAGGGCGCACTGGGCAGGACCGCGGAGGGCAGAGCGGGTAGTGCTCGGCTAGGCTTGGCACAGCTCCTGGGCCACTGGCCCCGGTTCCTTCCGCACGGCACGGTCAGCTGATAGGGGCGGAAGGGGGGGGGGGGCTACAGCTCGCTGCGCTCCGAGGCGGGACCGAGGCTCCGAGCAGACCACAGCCGAGCAGCGGAAGCGCTAGGGCCCCAGCTCCAGCCCTCCAAGCCGGCGCGAGTAGCCCACGCCACGCCCTCCGTCAGGTGAGACAGGGAATGGGGCAGCAGGCGGCTGGACCGGGAGGCCCGAAGTCACCGCATCGCTCCCAAGAAGGCGGTGACTGGAAGAACCCCGAGTGAGTCAGTGCATTAAGCTGTGATTAACGCCTACTCTGTGTGCCTGGCACTTTGCTAGTCGCTGGGGTTCAAATGCAATACAACAAGCATTGCTTGAGCACCTTCTCTATGCCTGACACTATACTATGCGTTGGGATATAAGACAAAAATGAAAGAGTTCCTGCCCTCAGGAAACTTGCATTCAAAGGTAGTAGGGAGTAAGGGAAAGAAGCAAATCACAGTATATTGGTACCTATAAACAAAGTAATGCTAAGTAATTTCAAGAACAAAGTAGTAGCAACTGCAGATCAATTAGTCAAGGCTGCACAGTGGCAGACCCTGACTAGAACCCAGGCTCCTGACTCCCAGGCCAATATTCTTTACACACACACATACAGAGGGAGAGAGAGAGAGAGAGAGAGAGAGAGAGAGAGAGAGAGAGAGAGAGCTTCCCTACTCATTTTCCTCACCATGGTGTCATAAATTTAGAACTGGAAAGGACCTTGGTAGTCATATAATCCAATAGTCATCATTTTACAGATGGGGAAACTAAAGTCCATAGAGATAAAGTGACTTGTCCAAGGTCACACTTGTAGTAACTGACAGAGCTGAGATTCAAACTCAGGGCCCAGTAATAGGAGGAAGTATCAGGGAGTTATAAATAAAGTGTTACTGAAGAAGGAGCATGGTGTTGGAACTGGAAGGGACCTCAGAGACTGTGAGTCTGGAGAGAACTGAATTCAAATTCTGCCTCTGATTCTTACTAGTTTTGAGGCATTGTACAGGTCCCCAAACCTGGATGAGCCACAATGTCCTTGCCTGTAGAATGTCAATAATAATAATATTATTATTTGCCTCAATAATTCTTATTGGCCTTGAAACCAGTGGCCTGGCCACATTACTACAAGGATCAAATGAGATAATATATGTGATGTGATTTAAACTATATGCAAGTCAGTTATTGTTATTATCTGCCTAGAAAGATACGCTTCAAAATCCAAGGCACAATGAGTTAGAAATGTTAGCTCCACAATAGCATATTCATATGTTTGTTTTCCCTCAGTCCCACCAACATTTGTCATTTTCCTTCTCTGTAAACTGTGCCAGTCTTATGGGGATGAGACTGTAGCTCAGAATTTCTTTTTCTAATTTAAGGATCTGATTTATTTTACACATAGCTATTGATAGCTTGGATTTCCACGGTATTTGTGAAGACAACTCTAACTGAAGAATTGTTTTGAAAGAAGTAGAGAATATTCGAGACCAAAGAGCCAGAGTAAGATCATGCCAAGAGAAGGCATAACTTTTTATTCTTTATCTCCCTCCCTGACATCACCCCTCCAGCTTTGTCAGAACACTGACTTGGTATGACGAGCCTGAGTCCAGGAGCATGTGATAATGGTTCTGAGGTTCCCGGCATCCAACCACTGCAGGAGCGGCAGGGAGAGCTAGGGCCTTTCCTGTGTTACACAACCCTGTGGTATAACAACATCAGCAGGGTCTCACCCCCTACTGCCACCCCCACAAGAACCAGCCTTTGGGGGAAAAGGAGGTCAGGTTGATAAGTGGCTAGGCAGGGTGAAATCGTAGACCCTTGCCTACCAGATCCCTGTGGATATTGGAATCTGTATTGAAGGAGATGGTTGTGTCTTGGCCCTGCCCTCCCTGTCCTCCCTGCCCTCCCAGACACCCTCTTTTACTCTCATTCAAGAGACAAAAATCAAGAAGCCAAATTTTAACTTAATTTGCCAGAGGAAAAGAATAGGGATTAATCTGTGGTTTCATTGGTACAGAGAAATCTGGGAATGCCTTTCACCAATGCAGGCCAAATCTTCTCTGCAGTTTATCAATCTTAGGAGAATTGGAGTCAGGCATGGAGAGCCACATCTGTAATGCCAGCTACCTGAGAGGCTCAGACCGGCAGATCTCTTGAGTCTGGGAATTCTGAGCAGTGGTGAGCTATGCCTATTAGGTGTCTTCGATGAATTCAGCATCAATATGATGAGCCCCCCAAAATGGGGGAGGGGCACCAGGTTGCCTAAAAAAGGGCAAACCAGTCCACATCAAAAATGGAGCAGGTCAAAGTTCCTGTGCCAATTAGTAGTGGGATTAGTGATCCAAGATGGACAGGCCCATTCTTAAAAAAAGTCTTGAGAGTTGCCTAGAGCAACTGGGAGATGGTGACTTGCCCAGGACCACACAGTTAGTGAGAGACAGGATTTGAACTCACTTCTTCTCAGTTTTGCTACCCACTCTTTATTCTAATCCCCTTATCCGAGGAGAATTGGGAAAGATTTTCCCTTAGTAGTGAGACTTCCTTCTCATTCAGTTCAACTCCTCTCTCTATTAAAATGTCTGTACTCAAAGAACTGTAGTACTTGGTTGACCTTGGGCCAGGCCTCAATTCCCTTACTTATAAAGTGAAGATTGAAGAGGCATGGGCCTAGTATTGGAAGGGGCCTCAGAGGCCATCTAGTGCCAGCCCCCTCCCTTTACAGATGAGGAAACTGAGGTCCAGAGAGGTTAAGGGTATGGTTCTTACACTTTCTACTTCACAGGTCTGTTGTGACGAAAAGACTTTGGAAAACATCTAGGCCCTGTAGAAATGGTGTAACTATTGGGGTTAATAAACCCCAGACACACTCCAAGAATGGCCCCCAGAAAGGATGTAAGCCAGGGAAGCCAGGCTACCGGCTAGAGAATCCAGGAGCTTAGAGTTCTAGAGTTCCTTCACCCTAAGCACAATGCCTTGCACATAGTAGGTGCTTAATAAATAAGTATTTGTTGCAAGGAATGGATGGGCCCCCAAATGTAGATTCCACTAACATTCCACCCATGTGCTCTCTGTGAGCTTATTTTGTTCCCTTCTCTCCCCACCCCCCAGCATCTGCAAAAAAAACCTGACTTCTACATACTTCTTTATTTTTGTTATTACTTCATTTTTTTCTCCTTCACATTCTACCCCCACAGTCAAATGGGTTTAGGTACAATATAGTAAAAGAGGGAAAACTGAGGCTGGTTTGATATGGGCTCAGAAGTTCACCTCCACACAATGGAACACAGCTCATTCAACCAGTTGCTTCTCATTTCTAAACGAGCAGCATTCATAGGAGGTTTGTGATTGTTCTCAGAGGCTGAGCAGCATTTAGGTGCCTCAAGGTGGGGATGCTGATGATTATTAACAATGATAATGGTTAGGCATTTCACTGGCATCATGGCTGCCCCAAAGATACTGGTCTTTTGGCTCATTATTATTATTATTATTATCATTAGCATTAGCATTTTTTCCCCTCTGGCTTCTGAACCCTCCCTGCCCTTCTACCTAAAGCAGCAGACTGAAGGAGGGAGAGACACAGGAATACTGGATTGTTGTTTTTTTTCTAGTCACTTGTGGGGGGTGGGGGATAATGTTGGGGGGAGGAAACCCAAGCCGGGAGATTCAGCTGAGCAAAAAAACAAGCCCTCTAGAGATAAGGGAGATCAAAGGAAAACTTCCCCCTGCCTGTTTCCCCCACCCCTCTTTCTATTCCTCCTCCTCCTTCCTTTCTCTGCCAGCCTCTCATCCCTTTCTTTCCATTGTGTGACAAGGGGATGCTCCCGAAGCTTTTGTTTGCTTTCTGTCCCAGAAAAGGAGGAAGTGAGATCACTAGAACCGAAATCTTTATCTTTGCCCCCTGCATGTCCCCTTTCATCCAGGGCTCTCCCAGGGCCGCTTTCACAGGCCCGAGGGAGCTTAGGAACAGGGGAAGGACCTAACCAGACAACAAGCCCAGACTTCCTGAGAAGGGTAAATAGAGCTACAAGAACCCGGGGAGTGGGGGGGTGGGGGTGGGAAGCTGAGGGAGGGACTCCAGAGGGCCCTTCATCTGGAAGCTGGGAGGGTCAGGGATGGAAGGAACCTTAGAGGTCAGTTAGTCCAACCTCCTTTTTATAGAAGAGGAAGCTGTCGCCCAAATCACTCAACTGACTTGCCCGTGGTCACTGACTGGACAAAGTTGGACTCCACACCAGATCTGGTTTTATTCTTTCCTGTTCCCTATCTACCACCCTCCCTGCAGGCAGGGCTGACATACAGTACTGCCTGTTGGACAGCCATGAGCTGTGTTAGTGTTCACCAATGGCACTGAAATGGGCAGTGGCCCCTTCTACTATCCTTCCGGTGCCCTCCCCAGGGTAAGCCTTTCCTATTCTGACTGTGTCTCACTCACACCCTTCCCAGATGGAATCTTTGCTTATGTCAGCAAAGTCAGGGAGAGGAGAACTCGCACAGTCTGCTGGAGGACAGAGAAGCCCTGTTATCCCTTTCACTTTCTTTCCTGTCATCAGTTTCACTTTCTTATTAGAGGTCACCTTTAGAAAGGAGTTCAAAACCCATTTCTGAGTATGACCTTGGCAAAACACTTACCCTCCAGGGGCCTCAATTTTCTCATCTGTGAAATGGGGGAGCTAGGCTAGATGTCCTCTGAGGTCCCTACCAAAGCTAGGGCTATCCCAGGGGTGTGAGCTGGTCAGGGAGAGCTTGTCCTTTCCCCAGAGAAAAGAAATTGCAATGACCTGAGTCTCTGGGTACCCTGCCCAGTGGTTTGACCCCTTGTGGCCAAACTCAGCCCAGCTTGACCTTAGGAAGGTGACTTGCCCTAAAGAGTCACCTTTGGGAGAGGAGGGGATAAATGGAAGAAAAAGAAGGAATCATTTTCATTTGTAGTTTTCTTACACAGTCCCCAAACAGG